ACATGTTGCTATCGATGGGCCTGTCCATGTGTTGTGACCATGTAATTGATATTGCTGAAAGGCCCATCTTTATGTTGTGACATGGGTGCATCTTACTAGACAGGCCCATCCATGTGTTGTGACCCTGTAAATGATATATATTGAAGGGCCCATCTTTATGTTGTGGCAGGTACATCTTACTATGGATGGGCCCACCCATGTGTTGTGATGGTATAAATGATATTACTGACAGGCCTGTCTTTATGTTGTGGCAGGGATGCATCTTACCAGATGGGCCCATCTATGTGTTGTGACACTGTAAATGATATTACTGATGGGCCCATCCTTATGTTGCAACAGGCATACATCTTGCTATGGATGGGCCTGTCTATATGTTGTGACAGGGGTATATTATCCCAAAGACAGACCCTTCCATATGTTGCCAACTCTGTAATCTATCATAGAGGGGTCCCTCTTTATGTTGTGACCCTATAAAGCATATGACAAGCAGGCCTGTCCATATGTTGCGACCTTCTTCATGATACAATAGGTGGGCAACCAATCAAACCATTCCAACTGTCAGTTGCCTTTGGGAGCCTCTAGCATATCCTCTTCTCTTCCCTCATGGAACTTTAGGATGGGGTTTATTTGGAGATCATCATCACCTTACACACTCCATTGATGATGATGATGATGATGATGATGAACATGGGCATAATGCAGTGACTACTTAAATGTGGTACTATCATGCACAGATTCTACATGAAGATCACTTCCAAATTTTTGATTGCCTCACAAATGAGTACATTGTTGACATGTTCAGTTGTGACTTGGAATGCTGACTTAACTACATCCAATCAAATCAATTGCACTTGCAACAAGATGCTGCTGCTTTGATGGATGTACCAGACATTGAATCCAATGAGAATGTCTACCTTGCTGCTTCATTCCTTGGTTTTAGACATTGGGCTTCAAACCAGATAGCAGACTCCTTGGAATCACTGCAGCAAAGGGGAATCCCACATTCTTCATTACCATAACATGTAATTTGAACTGGCCAGAAATCCAGTCACAACTCTGCCCTGGACAAGACTTCACTGACATTGCTGTTGTTGTTGTTCAAGTTCTCAAATGAAAACTCACTCTCCTCCTACAGGTTTTGAAAACAATGTTTCCACAAGTTGGCTGGTTACTATATTGCATACACTCCATTGAATTTCAAAGATGTGGCCTACCTCATGCCCACATTCTGATCAAATATGCAAGTGACTGTATTCATCCAGACAACATCAGCTCTGTTGTATCTGCTGAACTCCCAGATGACCCTGACAATGCAGTATTGATCAACACCTTCATGCACCACAACCATCCTATGCCAAATCAACCAGCTTCAAAATACTGCCAATACAAACTGCCTGACAGAACTAGAGCATGTCATTTCAAGTACCCCCATTCTTTACAACCTGTTACCACAAGTGATCTTGATGGTCACATTCATTACTGAAAACACAATCCAGGAGACAAGATGATAGTACCACAGTGTCTTCTGTTACTATGGAAATTTCAGTGCCACATCAATTTTGAAGTTGCCAACACATCTCACATTTTTCAGTACCTTTTTAAGTACATACACAAAGGTATTTCATTCTATAACACTTACCACTTCTCTGTTATTGATTTTCATCTAGGTCCTGACCATACATGCTATCATGTTCAAGACAAATCTACTTCAGAACCCAACAGAATTGACAAAATTGAAGATTATTAGGATGCTCAATATTTATCAGCAGGCAAAGCTACATGGCAAATTCTTGGTTTTCACATCATGAAAAAGGATCCTGCTGTTACCACACTTCCAGTGCATCTACCTGAATCATAATCAAACCATCAATATCTGTGTACACATCATACAGCCAGCACACCTTCCCTACTCAATTGATACTTTCAGCACCCTGTGGGTTACTTTACAGATGTGTCAGGCACTCACAGGGCATTTTCTGACCTAACATATATGGAGTATTTCACCTTATTCCAACTTACTTGCTTTGATATTCGAAACATCACAAATTCCCAATACTTTGATGAATCTCCTGTTGGAGATATATTCTCCCCTGTGTTTCTGCTTACTTTGGTGCGATGTTTGGCTGCTTGTGTAATCCATTAGAGCACACTTACTGCACAGTCATTACACTGTTCCCTCAGTAGATTGTTCACTACTGAGGTTGCCTACAGCACCCTTTTTCTATATCTCCATCTAATTCAAATGCCCAACCTTGCATGCATATCATACAAAGAGATGCTGTGCATGCCCACCTCAGCAGAATAAACTCAGTTCATCCATCACAAGGAGAACTCTTCTACTTGTGCACAATTTTGCAATCTCAAGCAGCACTATCATTTCTGGATGCATGTACCATCAATGCTGTGACATATGAAACATTCCAAGAAGCTACTATTGTATTAGGCCTCTTTACTGACCAGAATGAAGCATAATATGCTATGGAAGAGGCAATCACCACCCTTGCTACCCCTTGGCAACTTTGACTTCTTTTTGTTCACCTCCTTGTCAATGACTGCATTCTTGTGCCTATCAACATCTGGACAACATACCAACAGCACATGGCACACAACTTTATTCTCCAACTAGGTCTCAATGTGGAACTTGGCCTAAATCACACACTAGAAGACCTCAATACATTGCTTGAAGAACATGGAAAGTCACTTTTTTTTTATGGCTTACCAGACCCTATAACTTTCACCATTGAAGTCTGACATGAACTAGAGCAATGGGGTTGCAACCCAATTGGTCTTTGTGATTGTGTTGCAACAGCTATTGCACTCATGACAGATGAGCAACATTTTATCTATGACTGAATTATGTCTGCCATACTTGAAAATCAACTGCTGCTTGCCTTTGTTGATGGCAAATCTGGACAAGGCAAAACTTTCCTCATTAATGCAATATGCAATAAAGTTCATTCCCTGGGTTGCATTGTCATTCCAACTGCAAATGCTGCATTCACAACTATACCCAGGTGGTCACACCACTCATTCTGCCTTCAAGGTCCATTAACATCTTCCTTATCTCTAGTCACACTAACTTAATGTACATCATATTAGGTCCCAGTAAATGACAAAAATGAAATGCTTCTATTGCCCATCAAACCCAGTGATCCACATGGAGAACTAATAAGAGAAGCTTCAATCATAATTTGGGACAAAGGACTGATGGTCAACTGCACTGTTCTTACATGTGTTGACAACATATGTCAAACAGTCATGAAGAACAACTTACCCTTCAGTGGAAAGATTATAGTCATACTTGGCAATTTCTGTCAGACATGTCCTGTTATCCATGGTGGAACCCACACACAAGTCATCAATGCTTCAATTAAATCCTCTCCCCTATGGGAGTTATTCACCATTTACTGACTGACAATACCCATTCACAATGCAGAAGATCCAGATTTTGCAACCTTTGTAGATGCAATTGGCAAAGGAGCCAGACCTGACATTCCATCGACTCTCATGGATCATATCTGTACACCCAAAAACCTCATTGACTTCATCTACCCAACTGACATCCTACCTGACCCACATGCCTGTCTTCAACATGCTATTCTTGCCCCAACCCGCATACGAGTTGATATGTATAACAAGCACATACTTCAATGCATCAAGGGCAAAATGAGAATCTACCTTTCCACCGATACACTCAAAGAAGCTGAAGATGTAGGCTTAGTACAGCCAGACAGTGTCCTTGACTATGTTGCTCAATACACCCCACCTGGCTTCCCTCTCCACATCATCAAAATCAAAACTAATGCTATTTTCCAATTGCTACAAAACTTTTCCATCAACCTTGGCCCCATCAAGAACATTTGTGTTGTTGTCATACACACTGGCTCACAACTCATGACAGTAAGAATATTACAAGGAATTGGTGGTTCCAATGTTGTCGACTCTGAAGACATCCTCATACCTCACATATCCTTCCAAACTACCCTCCCTTTGGGTCACACTCTACATCGCAAACAATTCCCCTTAGTGCCTGGATATGCAACAACTTTCAAAAGTTGCCAAGGTCTCACTCTCGACCACATAGGTATTGACCTTACACGGTCTGTCTTCTCACATGGACAATTACAGCTCTCTCCTATGTCAGACACAGATCTCATGCATGTATCCATTTGTGTCTGGGCGAGGTGACCACGACAAATGTCACCTATCATGAACTCCTCATTTAGTATTGTATGTAGTAAACACCTCGCACCATTACACTTGCGACTAAATATAATGTGCCTTTGAAACTGGAGCGAAGTGACGGTGTGCCTTCGATAGTCAGACAGAAATGGTACGAATAGTCAGAAAAATAGTACAGATAGTCAAAATAGAAATAGAATCTACTAGAAATAGTCCTGGCGACTATCCGGACTTTTTCGACTATCTGTGCATGTGAACGGCACGATAGGCATTGATTAATTTCCTGATGTTATTTTGAGAGTCGAGGCAGGAACCTCCATGCGATGTGCGAGAGCATCACAGCTACGAAAGTGCTTTGACGAACGTAGATAGCTGACTAGTAAGAACGCATAAGCTGGGTGCAACGTGAGCTAGTGATGCATCGAGTGATACAACTACAGCGAATGGCATTGCTAACGCCCATCAACACTCCCGACATTATTTTCAGCAACGCCCTGTTTAGTGTAAGCGTACGCTTACCACTGACACGCCAATCACACTATCGACATCGCTCATGCTAACACGTCACACTATCACACCTCCTATCGCGCTTTCGTTCGGGTGTTGCGCTGTTTGGACTCTGAGGGTATATATACTGGTGCTGTCTGTGTCCACGGGGGATATATCTCTTTCTTCCCTTTCTCTCTCTCTGTCCATCATCTTGTATCAGCGTATACGCTTGATTGCTCAAATCCACACGCCTGTCCACGTTCTGTCGTTGTTGTGATCGGTTTGAGTGTGCTCACCCCTCTGTGGTGAGTTCCATTTAGGTGCACACCCTTAGGAAAGCCATTCAAATCTCCTCAAGTACGTACATACTCGTGATTAGGTACTAAAATGCACTGCTGGCACAGATATCAGACGGGAACTCGCATAACAGAAATACGGGGCGCAGTAGGAGAGCACATGACGAGTACGACCTACACAATCTCCGGTATCAGCACTTCAGTATCTAAGGTACTGGCCAGGTCTTGAACGCAAGCGGTAATCTCGCAATCGCTTGCAATTCTCTTGTACTCGTTGTGAGGTAACCTCTTCAGGAGAAGTGCGCTGAACGGCTGCTCCAGCTGTTCCAGCAAGTTCCGAACAGCATCGTCATTGCTCTCGGTCTGCGTTTCAAGCGATTTTGGATGCCAAGGACGGACGAGAATATATGCACCGGCCCTATTACCAAGTTTGATTGACAGTGTGACACTGACAGGCCTCAAGCGCGACGCATGAATCTCGTATGTGTAACGTGAGGGGTTAGTGGAAGAACCTTGCAGTCTGACGGCTGTGACCTGGTGGACAGTGGAGGGCAAGACAAGCCGCCTATTGAAAAATTTGGCACGCGGTAGCCGTGAAATTTTATCGTACAGCTCCTTTCCTTTTCCTTTCCCAAGATCCGGGTCATTGGGTCTAGCTGGGTCGCTGGGGGTCAGCCGGACCTGGGGTGACACGTGATACGGCGCGAGGTTGGCAGGCAAACAACTATTGAATGACGACGGCTTTCCAACCCAATCCAGAACCGTAACATCTCCAGAACGTGAGATGATCTCTGCCAGGAGACGTCCGAGTGCATTCTCCTCAGATTCGCCGTAGAGGACTGGCAATTGAACCTCGAAGATTCCAAAAAGGGAATAGGCTATATCTTCTGGTCGAGTGGTGCGACGGCGTGATGCCCAATGGAGTCTCAATCGTGCGTCATCCACGCCGGGGTGGAAATTGGTAAGGTGCTGTTTAGCTACTCCCGTAGCCTTCTGGAGCTCTTCGAGCACAGCAGGATCTGTTTTGTGATTCGTGGTGTCACTCTTCGTGCAGAGTGACCAGTCATACATATAGAAGAGGAGGGCGGATGGAGCCAACAGTTCTTGGAGTGTCCAGCCTCGCGTGAACCAGACACTATGGGAAAGCGAACCAACGTTGGAGACATCGGAAAGGTACACGATTGTCAGGGATGACCGGCGGTACCAAGAAAACATAGACCCAATTGTTTCCTGTAATTCGGCGCTACTATCTTTGTCGATGCAACATGTATCGCTCCATGCCCACTGGAAATGACGTTCAAGAGCAAGAAGGCAAAAGTCTTGGAGCTTTTCCAGACCGTCCGTGCCCCGCAAGTCATAGATATTTTTGCCTTCAACATCACGTAGTAAGGGCTCGCCACTCCCCCACCTGTGAGACAGCATGGCAATTTGAAAGAAGTCTGTAACCGCACTACCGATCTCCGTTTGGAGCTGCTGCCTGGTGAGTGAAGAGGCTGAGGACAGGAGCCGCTCGTATTGAGCACTACCTTCGAAGTAAGATAGTTGGGCATCTCGGTTACAGATGACCCCTGTCGGAGTATGTAACAGGCGCGGCGGAAGGTTTGCAACAGTTTCGAAAAAGCCAACTCTGATGGCATGTTTGATATCGGAAGAACTGGAAGGCGAAGGATCAATCCCGGCTCCCTTTAGGGGAGCCCAGGCAACCTTCATTCCAACCTTCGCTTTGAGGCAACGTGCAAGACACTCCTGAGACAAGGATCGATCGGGGTGCCCTGGAGGGCACAGCCCCGATGCGGTACGCGCGAAGCTAATGGCCTCATCAATGTCGTCCACTAAACCCTGTTGTCGGAACTTTTGGTAAAGGGAGTCAGCGAGGCTGAGAAGAACCTTGCATCGATTCAGCAGAGGAGTGTGTTCCAATGCAGCCCGGTGAAGAGATATGCCCTCTTCCAGATCATCCGTGGAAGCTTCCCTCATGAAGCGTTCATAAAGGCAATCGCCGAGTCTGAGAAGAATTCTTTGTCTATGAGGGTCGGTTGGGACCATGTGTTCCAACGCAACTCGTCTCATAGCGATTACTTCGTCTAAATCCTCTTTCCTTCCTTCCTTCTCAAACCGTTCAAATAGGAGATCGGCGAGATGGATGAGGGTATGATGGTGTCGTGCATGGTCTGGCGGAGTTAATTCCAGCCCAACTTGCCCCAACTTGATCATCGTGTCCAAACTGCCGCTGCTCCCCTGTCCCCTGAACTCATCAACAAAGCGATCGGCAAGATTGTCCACAGCTAGGCGACTGCCTGGGAGTTGCGGAGGAGTAGGTTTCAAGGTAGGTCCCATCGGAAGGGAGATAGGGTCTTTTGCCTACGAATGAATGGAAACGCAAGTTATTTCCCAGAAAGATTGATCGCAATTAAGAGTGATGTACCAGAGTCCCAGCTATATCCTTGACCTCTGCCTTCCCAACGGAGCCCGCGGGGTTGTCTCTAGGAACTCCTACGCTTCCGTTATCGCAGGATGCCAAGAGGTCCTGGACGATTCCCCACGCCGTCTCAGGCTTTCCATCAAAGGGATTTCCGTCAGGCAAGGTGCTACAAAACTGTGCACCTTCATCATTTGCTTGGCATCGAAATTGAGCCACCGATGTTTCAATTATCTCGTTAGACGTGACGTGGGACAAAGTCGGGACCGCGCGAATGACACTTGGAATGAAATTTCGATGGCACGTACGTCGAAAAGCACCAAGATGTTTCGAGACCTCTGTATTTGCGTCGCCTGCGCTGAATGCAAGGTTATGCAAGTACAACACTCCAACCGCTCTGCATGGTTTAGGATAGCTAACCAGATAGGTTATTCACTGCATGGTGTGTGTGTAGAGGTATGTCTCACTTTAAATGCATCCACGCTTTCAATGTCTTCTCCGCATCTGGGCCTTCGGTGTAAAAAGATGGCGCCCTTACGATAACGATGTCACTTTGCATTCCATCGAAACGGCATCGTACTGCATGAACCTCCGTGGTGCCGGGATTCTGGCCGTCTCCGTCTCGAACATGAACGTTTTTATGTTGCAGAAGGGTTTTCATAAACTGGTGGAACACACACAAATGCACAGTAAGTAATGGATTTGAACAGGATAGACGTGAATTCTACCAGACTCTTTCCTGAACCATGGGGACCTATGATGCTATTTGCGCTCTCAAATCTACTGTGTCGCCGAAGATAACATCAGTGCACTCACAACACTGCGGTATCGGTCGGTAAAATGGCGGTTGTCCTTTTAGACGAGCGAAGCCTATCCAACAGACCCATCTAGCGAACGGCAGCCGAAGGTTTCGCGCGAATTGCAAGGTCGGATGGCAAAGGGAGACAGGGTGGGACTTGAATGGTGTGACCTCGCCCACTTCGTGCTGATGACGTAAGTTGGATAACCTTGCGTGCAGAGCAAGCTCTCTGCAAGACTACTTCCCTTTTTGGGTTCAGTTATCAGTTCCGTATACTGGATGCAATACCTGTCCACAGTGTCGGGCTTGGCACCTCTGCAGTGGGTGCCGAAATAGTTGAGACCCACTGCTAGAAACAGCAGTACCCGCTGGAAAGTTCAGGAATGTTCTCTCATCAATATTGTCCGGAGACGCCTTAGGCCCTTATCCAACTCACGTCATCAGTATGAGGCTGCCACAAGTGTTACTTGTGGGCGAGGTCACACCGTTCAAGTCCCACCCTGTCTCCCTTTGCCATCCGACCTTGCAATTCGCGCGAAACCTTCGGCTGCCGTTCGCTAGATGGGTCTGTTGGATAGGCTTCGCTCGTCTAAAAGGACAACCGCCATTTTACCGACCGATACCGCAGTGTTGTGAGTGCACTGATGTTATCTTCGGCGACACAGTAGATTTGAGAGCGCAAATAGCATCATAGGTCCCCATGGTTCAGGAAAGAGTCTGGTAGAATTCACGTCTATCCTGTTCAAATCCATTACTTACTGTGCATTTGTGTGTGTTCCACCAGTTTATGAAAACCCTTCTGCAACATAAAAACGTTCATGTTCGAGACGGAGACGGCCAGAATCCCGGCACCACGGAGGTTCATGCAGTACGATGCCGTTTCGATGGAATGCAAAGTGACATCGTTATCGTAAGGGCGCCATCTTTTTACACCGAAGGCCCAGATGCGGAGAAGACATTGAAAGCGTGGATGCGCTCAAAGTGAGACATACCCCTACACACACACCATGCAGTGAATAACCTATCTGGTTAGCTATCCTAAACCATGCAGAGCGGTTGGAGTGTTGTACTTGCATAACCTTGGGTTCAGTGCAGGTGACGCAAATATGAAGGTCTCGAAACATCTTGGTGCTTTTCGACGTACATGCCATCGAAAACTCATTCCAAGCGTCATTCGTGCCGTCCCGACTTTGTCCCACGTCACGTCTAACGAGATAATCGACACAGTAACTCAATTTCGACGTCAAGCCAATGATGAAGGTGTACAGTTTTGTAGCACCTTGCCTGACGGAAATCCCTTTGATGGAAAGCCTGAGACGGCGTGGGGAATCGTCCAGGACCTCTTGGCATCCTGCGATAACGGAAGCGTAGGAGTTCCTAGAGACAACCCCGCGGGCTCCGTTGGGAAGGCAGAGGTCAAGGATATAGCTGAGAATTGGGTACATCAATTAGCTCCGCCAGACCACGCACAACATCATCATACCCTCCTGCCGGATGGATGGAGGTCTTGCCTCAACCTCGCTGACTCCCTTTACAAAGAGTTCCTACAACAGGGTTTGGCGGATGACATCGATAAGGCCATTCGCGCCGCGCATAAAGCATTGGAGCAATGCTCTTCAGGACACCCTGGTCAACCGTTGTCTCAGGAATGTCTTGCACGTTGCCGGAAAGCAAAGGTCGCCCGGGCTCGTCCAAAGGATGCCGGGATTGGTTCTTCATCTTCCGATTCTTCCGATATCAAGAATTCCATCAAAGAAGGCTTTTTCGAAACTGTTGCAAACCTTCCGCCGCGCCTGTTACATACTCCGACGGGGGTCATCTGTAACCGAGATACCCAACTATCTTACTTCGAAGGTAGTGCTCAATACGAGCGGCTCCTGTCCTCAGCCTCTTCACTCACCAGGCAGCAGCTCCAAACGGAGATCGGTAGTGCGGTTACAGATTTCTTTCAAATTGCCATGCTGTCTCACAGGTGGGGGAGTGGCGAGCCCTCACTACGCGATGTCGAAGGCAAAAATATCTATGACTTGCGGGGCACGGACGGTCTGGAAAAGCTCCAAAAATTTTGCATTCTTGCTCTCGAATGTCATTTCGAGTGGGCATGGAGCGATACATGTTGCATCAACGCAGAAAGCAGTGCCGAACTACAGGAAGCGGTTGGGTCTATGTTTTCTTGGTATCGTCGGTCTGCGCTGACGATCGTGTACCTTTCCAATGTCCCCGATGGTGGTTCTTTTGCCGATTGCACTTGGTTCGAGCGAGGCTGGACACTCCAAGAACTGTTGGCTTCACCCGCCGTCCTATTCTACATGAACGACCCCTGGTCACTCTACAAGAACAGTGACAGCGCGAATCACAAAAGAGATCCTGCTGTTCTTGAGGAGCTCCAGAATGCTACGGGAGTAGCAATACAGCACCTTGAAAATTTTAATCCCGGCGTGGATGACGCGCGAACCAGACTCCGCTGGGCATCAGGTCGTAAAACCACTCGGCCACAGGATATTGCCTACTCCCTTTTTGGAATCTTCAATGTTCACTTGCCAGTCATCTACAGCGAACCTGCGGAGCATGCACTCGGACGTCTCCTGGCAGAGATCATCACACGTTCTGGAGACGTTTCAGTTCTGGATTGGGTCGGGGTGCAGTCGTCATTCAATAGTTGTTTGCCTGCCAACCTCGCACCGTATCGCTTGATGCCCCAGGACCGCTCAACCCCTAACGACCCTATTAGACGCAATGCTCCGGTCCTTGCAAAGGCACGGGAGTTGTACAGTACTCTTGCAGCATTACCACGTGCCGGATTTGTCAATAGCAGGCTTCAGTTACCCTCCATCATCCACAAGGTCACCAACATCAGCGAGCAAAGTTTCTCGACCAGCTCCTCGCATTATACATACATGATTCACGCATCACGCCTTAGGCCTGCCAATATCACACTGTCGCACCAACTTAGTAATAAGGCCAGCGCATATATCCTTGTCCGTCCTTGGGATCCAAAATCACTGGAAACGCAGACCGAGAGCGATGACGAGGCTGCGTGGGAGCAGTTGGAACGGCTGAGGCAGCCGTTCAACGCGCTCCTACTCGAGAAGTTGCATCACAACGAATACAAGAGAATTGCAAGTGACTATATGATTACCGCCTATGTTCAGGACCTGGCCAGCATCTTAGATACCGAAGTACTGGTACTAGGGATTGTATAGGCATGCTCATGACGCACGTTCCTATCACATGCTTTCGTATTTCGGCTATGTGTGTTCCCGTTTGATGGAAGGCAGCACTGCACTGATGCTCTGGAGAATTACATAGTACCAAAGTGAGTGTTGCCAATAGGTATGCTCAATTGCAGATGTTGTCCAAAAAGTCATTGAGTTTGTCAAACTTATATTGAGGTTTCTGTCACTTGAAGTGAGACAGGCAGGGCTATGTGAGTGCATGTGAGGTAAGAGCTAGTTCGGAAACAAAGTCCCACCAAGAATCCAACTAAAAAAAAACCGGAACAAAGTCCCAGGCTTCATCACATAAGCATCCAACATTCAAGTGGAGCCTTGAATTCAGGAGGAGTATGCTTGGTGTGACATATGCAATATTGCAACACAACACATGGCTGATATTGCTGATGAGTTGTCTTCTGTTGATGTGGGCCAACCTGTAGACGAAGAAACCAATGACAAGGATATTAACAAGGACTACCATTGATGCTGCCAAATTATCATTCTTCTTCTATTCTATTATCAACTTCAACTGTTTTCTGCAGATGCTCTATTGACAAACACTCTAGCCACAATCACTGAAGCGACACAGTGTGCTGAGCCAATCCCATACCATACTTCCACTCTAACTGGGGCAGGGTGGGTTACTGAACTTTGGAATGGCCACCCTGAGAGGATTTGCACAGAACTTGTGGTGCATCAGCATGTCTTCAAGATACTGATGCTGCTGCTTCAAGAACATGGCTACACCCATTCCAAGCATGTCACACTTGAAGAACAACTTGCAATCTTCCTCTACACCTCTGTAACTGGCTTGTCAGTCAGACATGTAGGGGAGTGTTTCCAAAGGTTGAATAGTATGGTTTCCAAGTGCATTTCTGATTCACATTCCTTCTGATATACTGATCACCATTGAAGGTACTTCAAAAGAATTTTGTTTGCATTTTCATCTTGCAATATATATAGCAAGTTTGTACAATTACCACACAGTGATGACCCTGTCCACCCCACAATTTTTGATAACCCCAAGTTCTACCTGTTTTTTGCAGATGCGATTGGTGTGATTGACAGCATGCACATTGCATGCACTCTGAGTGCAGAAGAAAGGGATGCCATGCGAAACCACAAAGGCTTTACATCCCCAAACTGTCTCATTTGCTGCGACTTTGATATGTGCTTCACATACATGCTTAGTGGATGGGAGGGATCTGTGGCCAACATGTTGATCTACCATGATGCTCAGCTGAGTGATTTAGCCATTCTGGATGGCAAGTACTACCTTGCTGATGCAGGGTTCCCAAACTGCCCACAGCTTTTGATTCCCTTCTGAGGACAGTGGTATCACTTAGTGGAATGGGGCTGCATGCAATTATGGTAGGTGATTTTCACTGCTGTCTTTTTCTCTGATTCACATGGATTTCTAGGCCAGTAAATGCTGAGGAGTGTTATAACCTCTGCCATGCTCAGCTTCACAATGTGGTCGAGCACATAATTGGTGTCATCAAGTGGTGCTTCCAAATTCTTGTCATACCCCCAGAATTTGATATGAACATTCAATCCTGTATCCCACCAGCACTTTGCTGCATCTACAATATCATTTGCAAGTATGATCTGCTGGAATTAGAAGATATTGAAGGCTTCATATCACCTCCACCACTGGATTGATCAGCACATGTGATTGGCTTGATTGCCAATGCTGTTCCAACTGATGCAGACCACCTACAGATGACAGAGAAGTGGGGTGTGATTGCACAAAGCATATGGGCTAATTACACTGCAGAATGAGCGTGAAGGGGGGATCCAGTTGCCAACTAGCTACATATATCATTTGTTTTCCCTCAATTCCTAGACATCATCTTTTCAAATGCAAGTTGATGAGTGCAGTGTTCAAATCAGAGAGAGATGTATTGCAAGCCAATGTAAAGATGGATTTAAAACTACAAGGTACAAGTATGACATATGATACAATCACTGCATACATGCCCTGATCTCATTGAGCCTCTTCTCGAGCCAAGCATGCTGAGCTGCAGCAAAATGATTGGGATCACTTGCAAATGATAAGTATAAGCTAGTGTATGTAGTGTTTGCCTGGAACTGGTCTGCAATCCAGGCAATATTGATTGGTGAGAACTTATCTACATCTATTGTGAGAAGTGTCTCTGTTGCCTTGTGGACCAGTGGATGAACTGGTGTGAGTCAAAGTGAGGTTCAGTGGTGAAAACCAACCAAAACCAACACAAAAGACAATGAAAGCAAGTGGTGGTGTGCCTATGTGGTACCTAGATGGTAGAACCTGTTCTTTGGGAGGGTTTTTGCAAGCTACAACACTCAAAGATGAGTGCTGAGGGTTGGGGGTGCTCCTGATGAAGAGGGAGCAAGAATGTGATAGAAAGCAATAGGGTAGACTGCTGTCAGCCTACAGAAGGATGGATGGTGACTTAATTCAATGTCCTAAGCTGTACTGAGCTCAGGGAGGGCTTGGAGTGAAGTATATGGATGATAGATGATGATAAGGCAAAGTAGATGATAGCTAGACCCTTAATAAAGTCTCAACTATCGAAGCTGATGAATGATTTACTGAGATGATGATAAATTGTGAGCAAGAGGGGCTCTCTGATGACTTCTTCCTTTTTTCTTTTTTGCTACCTAAGTACAGTGACTTATATACAGCACAGGGGCATTGCCTATGGAAAACAAGGTGCAAACACTTGGTAAGTGATTGGTAACTGATGAGTAAGGAATGTAAGCGATGGGTAATTGTCTTGGAAAGCATTGGTAAGCATTGGTAAGGATAAGTAAGCCAAAAAGAGAAGAATCAGTAAGCAAAGTCAAAAGATTGGTAAGTATTGGCAATAGGTGAGTCAGAGACAGTCAGAATGTCACAGTATGAGTCAAGCAATGTCAGGAACTGGGAAAGTGCACTGGAATCACATTAGGGGGAGGCCTGTGCATGTCACATCTCGAAGAGATCACTTCTAGGCCAAAGTGGGATGACAGAGAGGCAGTGCTGATCTGATGCCGATATAGTACATCCAAAAGTGGACAGGGTGAGTCAGATGTCAACAGGGGTCAAGCTTTGGGGGTCTGTGGGGTGACAGGAGCATAGGGGATTCGCAACTTTCCCCCCCAAACCATCCTCTCAGTGAAGCAAATAAAAACTTCATGAATGAGGCTCTGTTGGAAGAGAGGATGAAGGGGGAGCATCTTCTGCTGTATCTTGCAACAAGGAGGCAAGATGTGCATCATACTTGTCATGGATGCGAATCAGGGAGAGTGGAGAACAGTAGATTATACTGTAGCTGTCGCAACTTTGGAAGAATGATGGATGAGACTGGTATGAAGACATTGCAGGGGGCAGGGAGGAAGGATCCATATGCTTCTTGGACTGGAGAGACTGAAACGACCACATAAGACCTTTCCAAGCGAATGACAGACCTGAGGTGACCAAAGAATGTCCTCCTGGAGGTCATACTGACAAAAAGAACACACTGTCCAAGCTGGATGGGCTGAGAGGGTGCAGATGAGGGTGGGATGTACCAGGATACTTCAGGATGGAAGCTGGTAGGAACTCCTGGTAGATATATGTAGCCATGGTCCCTTAGCAAAGGGGACAAGTGCAAATGACTGATGTGGAGGCAGCCATATCAGAAGAACTAGCGAAATGAGCATCTTTTGGAGGGAGTGCTGTAGAAACTGTGTGGAGTGTGCAAATCCTTTCCAATCTTGGAAGGTAGGATCGTGTGGCTGAGCACTACAAGCGAGTGTGGGAATGGTTTTCGGTGTCTGCAGAATTGGTGGAGATACGTTGAAAACCGGAATGCCTGTACATGGGTGCACTTAAGAATTTTATTGGTGCACTTAACCTTGCCTCCTCCTTTTTCCTTGGTATTGACAACTTGTTCTTGTGCGAGGGATGACTGCCGACATTGCTGGCTGTCCTTCTTCGCATGAGGGCTATGGTCTTCACCTCCATTCATCAGCTACATCCATGTCCACCTCACCAAACACCTTTGGTGTGTGACACTGGATCTTGCAAGAAGTTGGGCTTGGACTGGGATGTGGTTTGATAAGGCACAGGTGAGCCTGCCATTGTTGTGATCGCATCGGTGATGGTGTTCATCTGGTTACACATTGAACTGTGGAATTCTCCTAAATCCTCCCCTACATGCTGAAGTGTCACATCTACTCTGCATTGCTTTTGAGCTGATGAGGTGGATGAAGCTGCAGTGGGTGACTGGGCACCTGATACAACAGACAGGCTGTCATCATCATCTGCCTTCCACTTTTGAGAGCGCTCCATACAAGCTGAGATGCTGGAGGATGGCTTGACAGAGCTGATAGATGAACCATTTAATGAAGATGGGGCAGATGGGGGGGGAAACTTGATGGTGTGCCAGGGACACCAGCAGACTGGCCTGATCACCAATTGAAAACAGATCCACTGTGAACTGAAGTGATGGTGGAGGGTGCCAGGTATTGGGAAACTGTTGGAACAGGGGGAGCTGGGTTTCTGACTACTGGTGAGCAGAATGTGGTGTGGTTCAGAGATGGCAATGCTGGTGGAGCATGGTCCTGGGACAGTGTACTTCCCCCCATGCTCTCACTCTCACTGTTGGAAGGACCCAACCCAGCATTTGACAGGCCTCTGGCAGAATTGTCGATGGTCAATGCTGAAAAGCGATTCAAGCCCTTGCCCTTGGAGGGCATGAGGTCTCTCATCTGTTTGTAGTACACCCATCCCTTGTTTTTATAAGGGCCTGCATCCTTGTGGATCTGTTGATGTTGCCATTAGCACAGGAAATTCCATGCTAATTGTATCATACCTGTACCTTCAGATAGTTGTTCCATGTATCCTCACTTGTGACACTGATATTGGCCCCTGCCTCCAGGGAATATGTGAACCCAGATGCATGGCAGAGATGATCAACAGCTGCATATGTAGTTTGTAGCTGCATGATATCAGCTGGTTATTCTGTCATTTGACTGATAGACCACACACCCTTTTCTATTTCTG